GCAGATGAACTGTCACTGCCAATTTGGAGACAGTGTTCCCACGTTCCCATCCTGACGTCTCTGCAAGGGATTGTTTCAGAAAACCAAAATGACTGGAGAGACATTGACACTGAATTTGGTGGTGAGCATTAATCATGCATTTGCCTACAGGAAGGAATCTGATGAATGGGAGACAGGACAGCGTGGGATAGCCCATGTGCTCCGAAAAAGTACAAAGAAATCAGAGAGAATGGGGAGGTGACATCAAAGGGATGATCTGCTTGCTGACTGCCTTCCAGGTATTAGTGAGGAACAAAGGGCAGATGCTGGGGACAAGAAGGGCAGAGTGATGAAGAAGGTACTGGCTGACCTCAAATACTCTGAAAATGGGGAACCAACAGACAAAAGGAACTTTTCCCAAAAAGAGAAAACCAAAGGAATTTTATTAAGTTGATGCTGCTAAGGTAACCATTAAAATAAAAAATACAAACCCACCAAAAGAACATAGGAGAGAGAAAGACAAGGAGGGGAGGATGCAAATAAACAACCACACAGTAGAAGGGGAAAGAAGTAAGCAGAGTGAAGGAGAGAAACAGAGTCTAGCTTCTTTGAATGTACTTTGTCTTGCTGATTTGACTCTTGAACTACATCAACATTTTATATAAGGCTGGGCATGGTGGCTCACGCCTGTAATCCTAGCACTCTGGGAGGCCGAGGCAAGTGGATTGCCTGAGCTCACAGGTTTGAGACCAGCCTTAGCTAGAGCAAGACTTCATCTCTAAAAACAGCTGGGTATTGTGTGGGTGTGTACAGTTCCAACTACTTGGGAGGCTGAGGCAAGAGAATTGTTTAAGCCCAAGAGTTTGAGGATGCTGTGAGCTATGATGCCACCGCATTCTATCAAGGGCAATAAAGTGAGACTCTGTCTCAACAACAACAACAAAAATTACATAATCACAAAACAAGTTACATTTTAAAAAGCAATCCCTAAAGAATGGAAGTCTAGGCTCAGGTGGCTCAAGTGGCTAAGGCGCCAGCGACATACACCTAAGGTGGCGGGTTCTAATCCAGTCCGGGCCCACCAAACAACGATGGCTGCAACCAAAAAATGGCCGGGCATTGTGGTGGGCGCCTGTGGTCCCAGCTACTTGGGAGGCTGAGGCAGGAGACTCGCTTGAGCCCAGGAGTTAGAGGTTGCTGTGAGTTGTGATGTCACAGCACTCTAGCCAGGGGGAACAGCTTGAGGCTCTGTCTCAAAAAAAAAAGAATGGAAGTCCAATGTAACAAATGAACCTAACTAAATACTTCAGAGTTGGCAGCAGAACCATGAAGGGGAGAACTATCTCAAAGTGACTTTATTTATTTATTTATTTTTTTGAGGCAGAGCCTCAAGCTTGTCCCCCTGGGTAGAGTGCCGTGGCATTACAGCTCACAGCAACCTCCAACTCCTGGGCTCAAGCGAGTCTCCTGCCTCCGCCTCCCAAGTAGCTGGGACCACAGGCGCCCGCCACAACGCCCGGCTATTTTTTGGTTGCAGCCATCATTGTTGTTTGGCGGGCCCAGGCTGGATTTGAACCCACCACCTTAGGTGTATGTGGCTGGTGCCTTAGCCACTTGAGCCACAGGCGCCGAGCCCCAAAGTGACTTTAAAACACTCATTTGAGTGTATAGTCTAGTGGGATTCTTGTTAAGGATTTAAAAAAAAAAAAAAAAAGCAAAAGCAAAGCAAGAACATTTATAGCAAGACAACTGGGGAAACAGAGCCCTAGCCAGACTTTCACCACTTACAGGAACTGGCACTGAGTAGGAAAGCTATATACTGTGGTTATTTAAAGGGAGCCTCAGGTTTTAAAGATACATACTGGAACGTTTTTAGGTGTAATGTAAGAAAAATCTATCAGAGTTGAAGCTTACATATAAACACTATCCCCATGACGTGATACAAATCAAGTAACTTTTTATGTGTGACACAAACCCGTCTATAAAGCTGATGTCTCCTTACTGCTTTGTCACGCAGGCTGGAGTACAGTGGAGCAATCACAGCTCACCACAACTGACAACTCCTGTCCTGGCTCAGCCTCCCTGGTAGCTGGGACTACAGCCGTGCACCACCACACCCAGCTAATGTTTCCATTTTTGTTGAGACAGGGTCTCGCTGTGTTGCCCAGGCTGCTCTTAAAACTCCTGGGCTCAAACAACATCCAGGGTCAGTGTCCTAAAGTGCTGGGACTGCAGTTGTGAGCCACCACACCCAGCCTCACTGTTTTTCTCTTTAAAGCAGCCTAAACCTTAATATAATGTAAGGCCTGCTTTCTTAGAGTTCTGAGCAACACTTCTGGACCTCTAGAAGAAATAATCCTATAACCTCAGTCACATAGCTAAACGTGTTGATTAACCCACTGCCAACTCAGAATTCAGTGAAGCAAAACTAGTCCCTGCTTTAAATGAAGGGAAAGGAATGCAATGGGGAAAGAGCCTCTCCTCTCCCTTCCTGCTTCTCTAAGCCTGGGGTTTAGCTTATGGCCACAAGCACCTTATAATTAAAATAAGTAACACACCTAACCACATGAGTGGCATCCAGTCCTTAAAAACACACATACATCCAAGGAATGTTATTTCTAACCTTCTCTGGTCAGTACTGTGTTATTGTTCCCCTGTGGTTCTGCTGGAGGACCAACCCGAAGCTGCAACTACCCATTCATCCCCTTCTTTGTATACAAATAGCTACAGTCCACCCACCAGCCAGGGGAGGAGAAAGTATGGGGCTGAGGAGTGAACTGATAAATAACACGGGCAGTGTGCTCAATGCTCGTGTGTTGCAGAAGCCCAGGGGAAGAAGTTTTTGGATCTCCCCAGAGAGAAAAGGCTTAGCGAAGAGGACATACTTAAGCAAGGTACTGAGACAGCACTTTATTGAGTATAGAAATGCACTACAGTGATAGGAGATAGGAGAAATAACAAGTGAAGAGAGACGGAAGGTTGGACCAACCCAGGAAGGTGCAGGGCGGGTTCCAGAAATGGGGGTCGAGGATGGAGGGCAAAGAGCCCACCAGAGAGCGATGGCCCTGACGTGACTAGCTGTATGTCCACAGGCACAACTGATGTGGGCTGCCATGTCTTCAGGATCTTATCTGTAAAATGAGGATACCCCTTATAAAACAAATGTCTTTAAATGCCTTGAAGAGTGCCTTTAGAGGGCTCAATAATTATCTGTTCTCTCTGTCCTCCATACTTTGAAGCAGGAATGTAGAGTTTAGGCATAAAAGTCACAGAGGGGGTGGGGTGTGACAAGATGGCCAGAGGAGTGGGTGGAGCCAAGTTAGGATGCACTTCAAAGACTTCACCTGGGCAAGGAGGCACCTAATCAAGTGTTTTGAGCAAAGGATTTGGTCTGTCTTTGAGAAAGACCATTCCCACAGTTACCTGGCAGACAGAGTGCAAACGCACCCAAAGGGAGCTGTTAAAATAACGCAGGCAAAGAACGGGAGCGATAGGTCTGAGCACCAGCAGCGACTGGAGTTACAGTAACTGAGAATAAAGGCTGAATTCGAGATAATTCTGAGGACTTATTTCCAGAACTAGATATATGAGTTTGGAGCAACACAGAGAACATGTCAGAAAACAAAAGTTGAAATAAAACCTCTTGAGGTAACAGATTGAAGAAGATGACTTATCTGATAATGACAGTTCATCTCTACTCTTGGCAAAAAGAGTAGAGGAGGAAAAAAAGTAAAAAATGTGGTAAAGGGCATCGAAGGCTCTGTAAGAGAACATTATGCATTTAAAGTGTGAATAAGTTGTGTGTGCAAGGAGGGGAGGCCCCCGCCCCCAGCAGCAGTGAGAACCTTGGCATGGCCCCTCTGGACTCCAGCACCTCCCCGGAGGACACCTTGCTGAGGGGGAGGCAGCGAGCAAGATCAAGCGCTGTGGCAGTCAGCCTCAGACTGGCCACCCATCTCCCACCCTGTGTCCTGCCCTACCTGGCTCACTGCGGACCTAAAATTATACCAGTGCTCCGCACAGTATCCGGCCCTGAACCAGCAGAAGCTTTCTTCCTTTTGCTTTTGCTGCCCCCTGCTGAATGCTAAGAGATCAGTCTCACTTCAGAGCCAGCAACAAAGACGAAAAGTTTGTCAATGTTTAAAGGAAGAAAAGATGTTCTCCATCGTAGCCCCTAACCATCAGTCACACACCTTGTCCGCTTTCGCTTTCAGAATCTACCCTTTGCTGCATAAAGCGCCTGAGCCCAAAGAGCATTTTATCCACAACAATCACACTGTCAGGTATAAAATCTGACCGATATTGTTAATTCTTGAGAACTTTTGATTATAACTTCGATAGTCGTATGAAGCATGCAAACCCTCTCCCCATACACTGATGTTAGGTTTTATTACCCTCAAATCCATAAAGCAACTTGAACAACTAACAAAAGATCAAGTGATAACTTTTAGGTAACTTGATTTATATCAGTTACATTTGTCATACCAATTATATCTAAAATTAGCGTCTCTGAAGTGCATTACAATTTTTCTCCTAAGGAAATCAATTAGACAGGTTCTTGCAATATTAGGTACTTCAGCAATATGACTAGCAAAGCTTTTCCTATAGATGACAAAAATCTGAACTTTAACTCAACCCCATCTCAACAAATACAAAATGTAAATTCAGACAAATGAACACTTTTGGTTTATAAGCACTATGTCCTTGATTCTTCTCTGAATGCCTGCTGAAGGAGTTGATTAAAAATACAACCCAGTGTGTAAAGCAGCCGAATTAAGTCAGAAGTTCAGAATCTGACTTCCCCTCCTTTAGCTGTATCTCCTCAGTCCAGCTGTGTGACTGCTTTACAGTCTGTTTCCTTATCTATACAACGTGGATTTGTTGAAAAAATTAAATAGCAGATACAAAAGCAATGTGTACAGTCTGGTATACAGGAAGGGCTGATGTATGTTAGTTAAAGCCAAATGTTTTCTAACTGGTGGCTTAGAGGCATGCTTTCTTGTGACCAGTTAATTACAAACCTGAAATTTCTCTTTTGGAATGTTCCTCCGGGCCCCTTTTGCTAAAACCAAAGCCTCTTCCACTCTACGGTTTGCTAGAAGATCCTGTATTTGTTTTTCCAGAGGTAATGGAACCAAGATGTAAACTCCTTTACTTGTGGCAACAATCACTCTTCCTGGGAAGAAATTCAACATTGTTGGAAAGGGAAAAAACAGATAGCCTGCAAGAAAACACACTGCTTTCCCCAAATTAGATTATTACCTGATTTGCTGACCAATTTCATCAGTCTTCTCAATAGAGTCTCTGTAGAATTTAGAAATTTGCTTCTTCCCACATTGTCAATTGTTAGAAAAGAACTCATTTCTTTTTTTCTTTGAGAAAAAGACTTGCTCTGTCACCCCAGGTAGAACACAGTGGCATCATCATAACTCACTGCAACCTTAAGTTCCTGGGCTCAAGCAATCCTGTTTCAATCTCCCGAGTAGCTGGGACTCCAGGCACCCACCACATCATTCTGCTAATTTTTTTTCCTACTTTTAGTAGAGATGGGGTCTCAATCTTGCTCAGGCTTGTCTCAAACTCCTAACCGCAAGCAATCCTCTTACCTCGCTTCCCACAGTGCTAGGATTATACACATGAGCCACCACACTTGGCCAGGGCAATCTCTTAATATTAATACTACATTTCCAAAGAATAGCATCTGCTTTTTTGACTTTTTCTATTCAAAAGTGCTGGAAATTTTTATAACAGTATAGTAGATACATAATATAGAGTCCAATGAAGTTGCAGAGCTCAATCAGAGAACATTATCGATAGAAATTATGATATGCCTCATATAACACTTTTAAAAAATCATTCGCACCCGATTTTATATGAAGATTTTAATGCAGTATTTTGAACCATGAGATATTTCATATTCACCTACCACCTAAATACATCCAAATCTTGCCATTCTGTGTTACTCTTCCCACCCATGGCCAACACTGCTGCCCTCATTTGACCTGTGAGACCTTCCCCAGGTACTCCATGAGGAGTCAGAACTGCAATCCAAGACTAGCTCCTACTACCAAGCTTTCAAATTAAATTCTGCTCTCTTCTGAAGAAATGTTAGGCTGGGCAGTATCTGTTCACAGGAAGCAATTAATTAATCTTCTCTGTCTTCTGTATCACAACTAAAGAGGCCTTTCTCAGACTGATATAAAATTCTGTCCCTCCTCTGCCTGGTGTCACCTTTTCCAGGAGGCCTCTCTATTCCCACCCAAGGCAGGTTACGTCATCCTCCTGTATGTGTTTGTAACACCCTTCCCATCCCCACCACTCAACATGCACAGTGCCGTAACACTGCTCCACGGGCCGCTCCAAGACGTGCGTCATTGCCGTCCCTGGAATATGAGCCACCTACGGGAACAGTGCGGCTTGTGTGTCTTAGAATCTCCCCCAGCAGCCAAGACTGTGCCTGACATAGGAAGGGCAATGTTTCATGAACTAAAACCCTGAAATGGCATGAGCAATGCATAAATCTCGATTAGTTCCAGGCTTGAAGAAGATACAATAAAAGGCATTCTGAAGACAGCTAAGGAAATCTGGATATGAGCAGGACATAAGAATTAATGTTGATTTTCTTAGGTGTGAAAATGGCACTGCAGTTTCATAGGAAAATGCCCTATTTTTAGGAGATGCATGTTACAGTTATTTTGGGATTAAGTAACCCCCAGGTGATGGCTCATGCCTATAATCCTAGCACTTTGGGAGGCCAAGATGGGAGAATCATTTGAGGTCAGAGTTTGAGACCAGTCTGAGCAAAACTGAGACCCTATCTGTACCAAAGTGAGAAAAATTAGCTGGACATAGTGGCACATGCCTATAGTCCCAGCTACTCACCAGACAGAGGCAGGAGGATTGCTTGAGCCCAGGAGTTTGAGATTGCAGTGAGCTATGACAACACCACTATACTCTAGCTGAGCAACAGAGAAAAGACTCTATCTCAAAAAAAAAAGAAAAAGTCATGCTATCTTCCACTTATTTTCAAATGGCTCAGCAAAATGTTAATGTGTGTTAAATCTGGCAAAAAAGGCTTTTGGTGGTTTGCTTTCTTTTTTCTCTATACGTGTGAAAATGTTCAAAATAAAATTGAGGAAAGTAAAATAAATCCTTCAGTCATCATCATTACACAGAAGACAAAGTCCCTTCCTGACTGTCCTGGTCTGCTGCAGCCTCAGCTTACACGGGCCCTCCAAATACACTGTGCTATATGGTCACCCCGAACACTCACACAGGGTTAGAGTCATTTGTGCACCTGCTATGCTCAGCCCGAGGCCCAAGCCCCAGGAGACCCTTAGTAACATTTACTAAAGAAATGTCGTAAGTAAGTTTTGTTACGATTCCTACATAAACGAGTACCTTCAAAGTCCTGCAGGATGTGGCCTTCCTTAAAGGGCAGGGTCTGCTTTTGCTGCTGATCCAACATGCTATGAACCGTGATGAATTCGTCATCAAGCGCTATGACATACGGAAAGGACACAGCTGCCCCAATCACGTTCTCTGACCAGTGCACAGGGGCACGCTGGGATATCCCAGCAACTGTGGCAAACATGCCTATGGAAACAAGAAAAAAGAGTTAGGGGGCTTTCAAAGAATTATGGTATCCTTTTTATGTAGATGTGTCTGGATGTGGAACACCCCTCTGCAGCTTCCCTGTATAGTCTTATATTTCCAGAAAGGAAAGATAGTATAATACACTATATGTGTGACTTCATTTTTGTTAGGAGAACTACCTTACCCAGAATGCATATCTGACATTTACTTCCAATTAAAAATGAGGTTAAAAAATGCTTCCATATAACCCACATGAAGATTTTAAAAATACATGTCCCCAAAGGGGGGAAAAGCTAAATCAATTCAGGAAGCTTTGCAAGCTTTTCTTCATACCCAGTCCTCCAAATGGTTTGGCTCCCTAAGTGACAGCTCTTTCTCATCCAGCCAGTCACACACATTTACTGAGCACCTACTATGTGCCAGGCACTCTGCTCGGTGTTGTCCCTACTCAGAAATGAAGTCAAATTTTGGATTAGTTCTATAATACAGGGATAGAGGTAATTTTACAATTCAAGGTGAAGTGTTTGTTAATAAGAACTTCTACATGAAATGTCAGCTCACCTGTCTAATACATAAAGTTCACCAAGGAGACTGGGATTTACCAGAGTTAATAGATACACCAAGTAAAGTCAATCCACTTTAACTCAGTTTTCAAAGTAGCTGACATGAAACATCTTTGAAAATAGTATGCTGTTGCCCCCCCCCCCCGATGTTTAGATGCTACTGCCATGGACAAATGGTTTCTACCACAAACAACAGAGAGGGAGGGAGGAAGGAGAGACACAGAGAAGGAGGCAGCCAGGGCTACAAGAGAGGGCTGGGAAAACATTCCAGAGGTGAATCCAGGGAGCCTGGCACCTGCCTTCCTGGGAAGCCAAGGAAGAGAGTGAGTCAAAGGCCAGCATAGAGGTGTTGGTCACAAGGATCAGCTGCACTGGGCTGGCCTAAAGCACAACAAGGAACATGGGTGCAGGGCTGCATAGGAGGCTGTGTGTGTGCCTAGTAAACTTGGAGGTCAACGACTTCCAGAAGAGGGGAGATGGGAGTTCCCATGTTTTCTTGGAAGATAACAGTATTCTTCCTGAGCAGGGCACATTACTCCATGGAACAAACAAGAAGCCACCATAGAATAAAAGACAAAATGAGGGGGTTTTCCCAAGGACAGTTCATGAGGTTGCTCAGAGCCTTTGGGGGTTTTTTGGCATATGTTCTAAAGCTAAGAGTCATGCTGAGCAGAGAAGTCAACAAGCTCAATGGAAATACAGCAAAACAAACAAACAAAAACTACCAAGATGCCTAAGATTTAAAGGTAAGACCAAATAATAGGGCCATCTGGCTCGGTTCTAATCACACAAACCAAGGCACAGAGTTTGGAATTTCCAATGCTTTATAGTAACATAGAGAGTACAGTTAAAGGTTCAATTACTCCAACACCAAAGTATTCAAACAGAATCCAAAAACTGCCTAAGGAAAGAAGGGTGAGTTTGATGCCGTGGAACACATTAAGAATTTGAACTAAGACTGAGCCTGGGAGGAGATAATCAATCACCACCGTCTCCAGTGTTCTGTGTGTTACAAACAGTCGGCTACGGAGAGCCCAAAGGAAGAGAAGAGCGATTCCCAGGCGCTGGTGCTGTGCGTGCCACCTCCGCCCAGGCATCGGGTAAAAGGCAAACTGGCGGAGGGAGATACAGTAGAGCAATCCTGAGCGTTCTGCTGAATTTCAGGTCAAATAACCTGCTCTGTACAGCACAACTCTCAGGAGCACGTAGACACCAATAGTGTCGTTAGCTTCATCCTGGAATTAAACAGGGTCACTGCATTTACCTGCTTAAAGCTTAACTGTACAGCTCAGAGGCCCCAACTAACATTCTTGAATTAAGAAGGACAAAAACCAGAAGTCAAGAACAAAGGTGCCTGCCTGAAAGGAAAAGTGAAGATTTCACTGAACTAAAAGAGTACACAGTAACTGTCAAAAGGCAGTCCACTGCCCACATGGCGCTGGCATGGGTGTGCAGAGAAGGGAATACTTACACACTGCGGGTGGGACTGAAAACTACTGCAGCTGTTTTGGAAATACGGAGAATCTTCAAAGAGCTAAAAGGAGACCTTCCATTTGACCCTGCAATCTCCTTACTGGGTATCTACCCAGAAGAAAAAATAAATCATTTTACCATAAGGACATTTGCACTAGAATGTTTATTACAGCTCAATTCATAATTGCCAAGATGTGGAAATAACCCAAGCGTCCCTCAACTCACAAATGGATAAATAAACTATGGTATATGTATACCATGGAATACTATTCAGCCATAAAGAAAGATGGGAGACATGGCTGGATGCAGTGGCTCACACCTGTAATCCTAGCACTCTGAGAGGCTGAGGTAGGTGAACTGCCAGAGCCTACGGGTTCAAGACCGAGACCAGCCCGAGCCACAGTGAGACCCTGTCTCTAAAAATAGCTAGGGGTTGTGGTGGGTGCCTGTGGTCCCAGCTACTTGGGAGGCTGAGGCAAAAGAATTGCTTGAGCCTAAGAATTTGAGGTTGCGATGAGCTATCATGCCACGGTACTCTACCAAGGGTGATAAAGTGAGACTCTGTCTCAAAAAAAAAGAAACAAAGAAATATGGAGATGTTCCATGTTTTGTATTTACCTGGATGGAGCTGGAGAATATCTTTCTAAGTAAAGTATCACAAAAATACTTTACTTGTGGTAAGTATCACAAGCATCCAAGATAAGAGCATCCAATGTACTCAATACCAAGATGAAATGAGTAAATGAACTACGACACCCCCACACAAGAGATAAACACAATTAAATTCAAGTAGAGCGGGTTGGGGAGGAGGCAGGAGAAAAGAGAGAGAAGGGAGAGGAGAAAGGGGAGGGGAATCAAGAAGGGGGAGAGGGAGACAGGAGGGGGATTAATAATCTCTCACCAAACGGGCACAATGTAGGGGTATAGGGCACACCTCTTGGGTGCAGGGATAAATTATGACTTGGACTTTACCTAACAAATGCAAACAACGTAACCTAATCGTTTATACCCTCATATTAATCTGAAATTTAAGAAAAGAAAGAAAAAAAAGATCTCTTGCTCTCACTCTTTCTCCCTGCGCCCCTCAGTGTACCAAGGGAAGGCTATGGGAGAAGCCATGACCATGCTGACAGACTGATCTCACACTTGCAGCCACCAGAACTGAGAAAGAATAAATTCCTGTGTTTAAGCCAAATTTTTAAAAAACGAGGAGTCCAGGACAAGCAGGAGGAGCCCACACACCACCCTGGGAACAGAGGGGACTGTGACCAACACCCACAGACTAGTTCTACTCTGGCCCTGGTGACAATGCCTACAGCTTCTGTGCTGGGGACGGGTGAGAGTACTGTCAACATGCGAACGACCCAGATGTGTGAGTGGTACATCTCTCAAAACATCTTTTCCAACTGAGCACCCTCTAAGGGTGAGTCTATATGTTTATCTAAACTGGGGGGGAACAACCTAAAGTGAAGAACAGCTGAGCTATTTGCCTTCTTCAAGAAGCGTTATCACAAGATGGAATTTAAAGTCACACTAATCAATTGTATTATGAAAATTTCAAACCAAGTATTGCTTTGCAAAAAGTTGAAAGCAATTTCCTTTTTTTTTTGAGACATAGCCTCAAGCTCTCCCTTGGATAGAGTGCCGTGGCATCACAGCTCACAGCAACCTC